CATAAAATCTAACAACCCTCACCTGGCAAATGGGAAATAAAGATATATATTTAAAGATATATATTTTTTTAAATATATAATATAAATTTACAATTAATTCCATTAATAATATATACCTGTTAAGTTACAAAGCTAGGTTAATAATATAATAATAAAATAAATATATTATTTTATTAAAATATATTATTAATTTATTTTTTCAATAAAATATAATATTATCAATTGAGTGATCATTGGGTTCAGTTATGTATTTTGCACTTCACCTGTCGTTCACAGTGGCAACAGGTTTCTTTCACGACGAGCCCCGACGGCTCAGGGGGCTAATCCCAGGCAAAAGGGCGAGACGATGCTCGCTGCTTGACAGTGGTAGCGGCAGCTGTACGACACAGGTGCCTAGGGTTTTCTCCGCGCCATGTCTGGTGGAAATGTGGCGGCCACGACGTCAGTGGGCAGTGGTGGCACTCATGAGGGATACCGCGACCGGGATCCACCTCCTGCGTTTGATGGCAAGGAGGACGGGTTCAAAGTGTACCTCAGAGAGTTAGAACTTTGGAGGCATAAAACAGATGTCCCTAGAAACAAGCAGGGAGCCAAAGTACTCAGACAACTCACTGGGTCGGCAAAGGCAGTGATCGATGAGTTAAGCATAGCTGAAATCACCAGTGAACAAGGGATTGACAAGATAATTTCAGCACTGAAAGTTTACTTTCAACCTCACCTTGAGACTGCCATACCCAGGGCGTTAGAAAAAGCCGTGTATGCTGAAGGTCGCAAGTCCAAGGAAAGCTTTGGAGACTACCTGATCAGGATGGATGCCGGCTTTCGCGAGTTGGCCTCGGAGGGCATCAAGTTGGAAGATCAGGTCAAGGGCTATGTGATCTTCCGGCATGCAGCTTTGTCTCAGGTGCAGGAGGACCAGGTCACAACATGGACTCAGGGAAAGTTTGACAGAGAAGACATAGTCAAGGCGATCAGAAAGCTTGAGAAGGTTCAGAAGGAGAAAGGTGGCAGTCGCAACTTTGTCACTGAGGAAGGGAGCTATGCAGAGTTTGAGGAGCAAGACGAAGACTCCGAAGACTATGTGTATGTGGGCGAGCGAGATCTTGAGGAGATCATGGAGGAGGAAGAAGTTCAGGAGGCCCTTGCTTCCTATCAACAAGTGCGCAAGGCCATCAAGGATCAGAGAACGAGCAGGGGATATTATGATTCCCGATCTGTTGGCGGCCGTGGAAAGGGAGCTGGCAGTGGCAAAGGCGGCAAGCCAAGCTTCTCCATGGGCAGTGGTCGCATCCAGTTCAAGGGTGGCGGCCAAGGTCATGGTGCCAGAGTACACATAGATATGCTGAAACTCAGAACCAGATGCGCGAAGTGCGGTGTCATTGGCCATTGGGCCAAAGAATGCACCAATGAGCCTGACGCCAGG